TCATCCTTTGACTTAAGCAACCTAAGCCATGTGTATCGGGACTTGTCATCAACAAATGACACAAAATAGTGGTAACCTCCCATACCTTCAACTCTAGATGGACCCCAGCAATCTGAATGGATGTAATCGAGCACTGCATCAGTAATGTGAGCACCCTTGCTGAACTTTGACCTGTGTTTCTTACCAAACACACAATGCTCACAAAATTCAAGGTTGGCAACCTTGACCCCGGATAGAAGACCCCTCTTGGACAATAGCTGCATCCCCTTCTCCCCCATATGACCAAGCCTCATGTGCCAAATCTTAGTCATCTCCTGGTGAGATACAGATGCGCAAACCGCAGAACTAGACAGTGTAACACCCTCAAAAACATAGAGGGTGTTCCTTTTGATACCCTTAAGTACCAACTCAGAACCTCTGAAAATACACAACTCCCCATCTGAAAACACACCATTGTACCCCAAGTCATCCAGGGTACCCAATGAAATCAGATTCTTTCCTAAAGCAGGAACATGCCGTACATTAGTCAAAGTTAACCTCCGCCCATCAACAGTCCTCAACCTCATGGAACCAATACCTGTGACCTTACATGGAGCATTGTTACCGACTATAACCATACCCCCATTGCGAGGTTCATATGTATCAAACCAATCTCGACGTGGACACATATGGAACGAACACCCCGAATCTAGAACCCAGTTATCAGATAAATCATCAGACCTAGCAGAACTGACTAATGCTAAATCTTCCTCTGAATTATAGCTCTCATTCGGTTTCTCTTCAACTACAGCAGCCTGGGACTTGTTTTTCCTCACCGGACAATTATTCCTAAAGTGACCCGGTTCTTTACAGTAATAACATGTTTTAGTAGTAGTTTTACTAGATCCATCCTTGCCGTTTCCAGCACCCGACCCAGCATTGTTCCCCTTGTTAAACCCCTTATTCTTTTTAGACTTTCCGGACTTAACAAACAACCCACTACCATTATCCCCATTATCACTCGTAGCTTTCATTCTGAGTTCCCTAGTATGAAGTGCTGCCTTCACTTCTTCTAAGGTTATAGAATCCTTACCAACAACAAAAGACTCTACAAAATTCTCAAAGCTAGACGGTAGAGATACAAGTAAAATCAACGCAGCATCCTCATCATCAATTTTAACATCTAAATTACGTAAATCAAGCAAAATAGAGTTAAGTTTTTCTAGATGTTCCCGTAAGGAAGTACCTGACTGCATCCGGAGGCTAAACAACCGCTGTTTCAGTAATAATTTGTTGGTCAACGACTTAGTCATATACAATGACTCCAGCTTCAGCCACAATCCAGCCGCCGTTTCCTGATCAGCCACCTCCGTGATGATTTGATCATCAAGACTAAGTAATATGGTAGAGTGTGCCTTCTCTTCCATAACTTCTAACTGCGGGTCAGTCGGTCCATCTTCTGACTCCGAAGTAGTACTCTTTGGAGCCAACGGACGCCATATCTGCTGTTGTTTTAACAGAGCCTTCATCTTAATTTGCCATAGCCCGAAACTATTTTTCCCGGTAAACTTCTCAATTCTTATTGTTGAATCTCCTGCCATTGTTATCTTCAAGAAACTCTCCAAGGATTGAACCTGAGCTCTTGATACCAATTGTTGTGCGACAGCGGAAGCAAAGGTCGAAAACAAACAAGAAAACAATAAAGAAATTCAATGCAAACAATAAGAACAACACCAAGAATTTACGTGGTTCACTATCGATGTGATAGCTACGTCCACGGGCACCGAGATCGAATGATTTCACTATAAACTGCAAAGATTACAAAGATGATTCTTGTATTTCTCAAGAACGGCTCTCCCTCTCTCTCTCTTAACCCTTATACTAATATTAGGGAGGTTTTATATTAATCCCTAAAATAAAAGATACTTGGGCAAAAAGATAACATAAAAGATAACTTTAAATCGTAAAATCCGCGTCTCCGCATTTTTCCTTCTCCGCCCGGTCAGACCGGGCAAGGTCTGCCCGATCGGGCGCGAGAAGAAAACTCCATACGAATGCTTCAACGTATCCAACCCCCACCGCCCGGTCAGACCGGGCAATGTCCGCCCGATCGGGCGGACAAAGCTACGAAGTACGAGTCACCTAATACTTATCAACAGATACATTTAGAGTAATCTATAAGTCTATGACTCTTGACTTCTTGAGTATTAAGCTCAATCTTTGATTATAATGATGGTGGATTGTAGCTCCACTCAACGAACATAATTTCCCTACATCTAGGTAGTGGCGTCAGTTGAGTGCATCTATTTTGTGCACTTATAATCATGTTTGTCATTTACATGCATGTTGTATGTCTTCAACTTATTTCCTTGCATTCATGCATGGAAAATTATGATCATCATCTCTTGTGCGTTTGTTTTTGTCTGCTGCTTTTCGATCGAGGTCTATACTGTTATTGCGTATTGTCACCAATCTTTAATGAAACTCGGCACTTGCAAGCAGTAGTCCAAAAAGTAATATGTGTCAACTAAAAAAGGAGGTATAGTATAAGCTAGTCACCATTGCTGATTAATAGTTGTCCCATTTGACTTTTTAACAGGTATCAGTTCATTTTGAAATATCATATGAAACGAAATTAACAAATAGTATATATACTTGTACTTGTGCAAAAGAACAAAGTTGATATACAACTTGCACTATGCTATTCCATGTTGGATAATTCTAGAGCATCACTTTAATTGATAGAGTTCTTTACTAATTTAAGCTAGGGACCTCACTCACTTGAGATTTCATGATCACAAGGAAAAACTTAGCTTATCAAAAATCTTCATATTATTAATGATTTGTAGCTCCATATCCCCAACATAAAATGGCCTACATGTATCTCATTATTCTTGCATTAAGTTAATATTTGAAATCTAATTCTAGACTATATCATCATATTGTCGTCTACAATGTCTTCCTTAAGCATTGTTTTATGGTAACTTGAAACTTTAGTATATATGTTTTTTTTTTTGTGTCTCTACTTCTCTTTTAGCTCTTAAGAGTCATAAGAAGCTATAAAGTAAGTTATTTTGATGTCCAAAGAAGTGCTTTTTTACTAGATTTTGGCCTTATGAGCATTGAGAGGACATACGAAGAATGTAGAGTCATTGATGTTATATATGGTGTTAGATCCTAAATCGTGTTTAGGGTCTACCTTTTTAGCTATAGTAGCCCTAAGCTTGGATCCTACCTTTGGGAGCATGATTAACATCCGCTTGTGGCCAACTCACTATAGTTACGTAAAAATTAACATGTAGGTATAATGGAAAACATGTTCAACTTATTACATAAAAAAGTGACCTCTAATATGTGTACTTAAAAAGAGGGTAATGCTATATGCAGCCCTAAGGCTGCATATAAGCATTTAATATACTTCCTTTTTTAGTATTAAGTTGGGAATTTATCGACAATTTACGAGTAAATCGATGTAATAAATGGTTATTTATTGTCTTTCCTTTCCATTTTTAGCTTCTTATATACAGCCTTTAGGGCTGCATATATCTTTTTCCTTAAAAAGAACATGTTAGTGTAATGAGTAACATGGATCGAGACTCGAGAGCATAATGTGCAACACACTCTTGAGGTTTAGGATCTGTATTCCAAGCCTGGAAAAAGAGAGAAATGGTTTGAGAAAATTAATAACCAAAACCTACTTACCAGTAAGAAATAAGAATAATCATTTTGGTACACAAATTTATTGTAACTATAGGTCTACAGTAGCTAATAGTGTCATATATTATGGACTTGTGGTACGAGTTCCAAGTTAGTAGGCCCAAAGTTTCCCAAAGGCCCAAACTTGTGAAGCACCAAGCATATGGTCAAGTTAATAAATAAATTATACTGATCATAAATTCATAATGGTTTCATTTTGAACATCTAATAGGTACTAGCTTATATCCACCCTCTCAATTTGATACTCGTTCTTCTAAATCTATATTAGTTGAAGTCTAGTAAGCTTTGGACAGGAGATGATCAAAACCAAAAAAAAAAAAAAAAAGGTTTTGGATTTTTGGTACAATGTTAGGCTGATAGCTCAACATAAATGTTCCAATTTTTATATTAGAGTTGATTACAAACTTATTGTTAAAGAACCAACTCAACTAAAACATTAAGTTGATGGTTGAGCCCCAAGAATATGTTTTATATCTATCATTTACAACTAAATCCTGAAATTGAAATTTCAAATGGATATCTGTGTTTGCTCACCCCACTAGGCTCTCAATAGCAGCTGACCCGGCTAACTTAAAAATTAAAAACAATAACGCGTGTACTTCTTAGAGTAAAACTGTAGAAGTATAAAATCCCATCCCAATATGCCAAAAATGTGGGTTCTTAGTAGTACATAATCTACTACTTCGTATTAATTTAGTTAGATTTGGTTTTTAGCTAAAAAATGGACAAAATTGCAGATAAGCCTGAGAAGATGCAATTAGATTTACATGGGATTTGATTTAAGAATGTAAAATACTTGTACTGAAGATTAATTAGTTCTGAGAGAGTGAGAGGTTTTGCAGATAAATCAGATATAGTGTACTACAAAATATAAAATTCTGTCATGCCCAATTCACAAACTTTTTTTCAAAATAATATCATGTCTAATTTCTACTGCTCGTTCGCGTATATATGTAGTACTACCTCTGGTCCAAATTACTCGCAACTTTGGGGTATTATTTGTGAGATATAAAATATTCCAAAGTTGTGAGTAATTTGGACCAGGAGTAGTATATATAATATAAGTTAAGTAGTTTACCCGTCTCATTCTTGGATTCTGAAGTAATTCTGTAATCATGAAGCGTGTACTTATTAGGGAGTAAGCATTCAACGCGTTTCATCACAGCAAAAACCAATTTTGTAACGGGTGACTTTTATGTGATTTGAGATGGCTAATTTGTTGTATAGAATTACACCCATAAGGCCATAAGCCGTTGTATATAAGTCACATTTGTTTATATCAGAAGAGGTTGTTAGCCAAGTTGTTACAGAATACAGGACAAGATCAAGATGCCTCTTATAGAAATAATGAATTTGGTCCATTACTAAGTACAGTAATCAGGTTTTTTTTTTTCAATATTTAGTCTAAAACAATTTAAAGTACATTACATGTCAACTATTAAATCATTTTTACTAGTGAAAAAACATAGTTGAACTTGAAGACAACTTTTACATTATTATTAGCAACAATATAAAAAATTTCTTTATACTATCATATGATATGATATGATAATCTATATGTTGATTATATTGGGTTTCTAATAAGCAGCTGCAACAGGACCCAACTCCAACTTGACACCATTTTCCAATTGCTTCATAGTTTCAAACCTTGGCTCCTTAGGCTGGAATTTAAGCCCTGCATACAGCTTCATGTAGTCATCAAACACAAATTTCGGGTATATCGGTTTTTGCTCCTCTGCATCCTTCTCCACCAACGACGGTGCAGGGTAGATCACTGCATCACTCGCAGGGTTGTAGAACGAAGCAATCGACATTCTAGTCCCGTCTGTTTGCGCTACCACTCGATGCAGCACACTCTTGTATCTCCCATTAGTGATCACCTACATAAAGTAACATAATATTGTTATTGTAAGGTCTTAGTACTAAAAATATTTGTACCTGTATATAAGGGGTGACTTGTTACGTGTCTCATTTAAGACCAATTGTTACTAAAGTGTATATGATAAAGTATAAAACATATTCTTGGGTTTCAACCATTAGCTGAGTTGGTCGTTTAACGGTGTATGTACAATTTTGGTGGTGACTTACCTCGAGTTGGTCACCAAGGTTGATAACAATGGAGTGACGCATAGGTGGAACATCAATCCATTTATCGCCTTTAAGGAGTTGGAGGCCGCTAACTTTGTCATCCTGGAAGAGGAGGATGATGCCACCAGCATCGGTGTGGGCTCGGAGTCCATTGATCAAGTCGGGTTTAGGGCACGGTGGGTAGTTGCTCACCTTAGTCCCATAGTTTGGTGCACTGTTTCCATAGAACACCTTCTTAAGGTAACCTTTTTCAAGGCCTAAGTTCTCACAAAGCAAGTCCAAAAGATCTTCTGCTAGTTTTTCCAACTTCAGAGCAAATTCCTTCATAACCTTCCTGTATGTTCATAACAGTTGACCCGACAGTTATTTTCAAACATCAGATAATAGTATATGTGACTATTAATTACAGTATTAAAAAAACATTTATTTTCAAACTTGAGATAATAGTATATGTGACTATTAATGGCAGTAATGGTTTTATTGTGTCGCGTCTCACCTGTATTCATCATCGAGATCAGGGATTTCGGTGATGTTAGAAGTAGGAAGATGGCGCAGATAGAAGGTGCTTTCCCAATCCAAGTCCTTAATCTCAGTAGATACATTCTCTAGGCCTTTGCTAGCAACTAGCTCTTTGAATCTCTGTTCCATACATTTCTTGTAGTGATCTTTGCTGATCCTCTCAACAGTGTCCAAAAGATCATGCGAAATTCCATGATTCACCAGCTATATCAACAATAATAATACTCATTAATAACAAATTAATTAGCCAAAAAAATAACTTTTACATGCTTGTATGAAAAAAAAAAAAAAAAAAACTATAATGAATTAAAAAGTCGTCGATGCATTTAGTCAATTAAAGGAGTCTTTTCTCCTAGTGGCGCGGACTCACTTGTATAGTCGTGCCACTAGGTGAATCTATAAAGGTATGTTTAATTGTTTATAACTTCGTGGATAATAAGAAAAACGAATTAAAAAGACGTCTAAAATTTACCTCGAAAAAACCCCAGTTTTCACAAGCATCATGGATCTTTGCCATGGTAGCTTGTCTCTCCTCACCATTAAGATTCCCCAAATTGATAACTGGGAAATTCTCCATTGCTTAAAATTAACTCTCTTTTTTTTCTTGGTATAAGCTGAGTTTTTCTCTTATAGAATATTCTTTCTTTCTTGCTTTGCTCTTTGAGTTGTGATAAATGTGCTTTGGTCTGTCCTAAGCTATTTATAGAGGGTGGGAAAATAGGATTAAGAAAAGTAAACAAATTGAGATTTAATGAAATTTATTTAATTAAAAAAAAGTGGGACCCTGTATTTGGAGAATGTTTGGGACCTACCACATGATTTTACTAGTACATGTTTCATTAGTGATGGCTTAAGTGTGGGTCTAGATTTTTGACCAAAACAGGAGAAGAAGCATAAATGTCATATATCTTAGATTTGAGTAAGAAGTTACCTAGTATTTTCGGGATTGGAATTAGAGTAACCATAATGTTAGTCGTGGATTCCTTTTTTTTTTTTTCCTAATTATTTTATTTATTTATTTTTTAATTAAATTTAGTACTCTAAATAAATTTAATGAAAAATACAATGGAGTCGTCTTAAAAATTACATATTAAAAAAAATAATTAAAAAAACTACTCCCTACGTCCCTAATATAACGATCTATTTGACTTAATTTTAGTCCAAAAATATTCATTAACATTTGAATAATATAATAGGTATTGGAAAATATTAATATTTGAATGGGTGCATTTATAATCTACCAAAAAAAAAAAAAAAAATGAAAGTGAAACAATTAAACAAAGGGAATAATTTTCTTACAAGAGACTTTAATTATATTGAGGCTAGCTTGACCTAGTTGTGACTTGATAACTCAAAGTTTTGACGGGTATTGTGAAGATAATCCCAACTTTTTCTCTTATATTGTTGGATATATATGTGGTATTTTAAGATTAAATCTTACTCCGTATTACCTAGTTATTATTTTAGTTTATCTGAAATTATTAGCATTTAAACTATATTATTTAAATTTATTTGAACTTATTAACCCTTATTTATATTATTTGAATTTTTATGAGCTTATCAAACCTAAAATACATAAAAAGTAAGGTGTGGTGAACAAAGTCTCACTTTGTTCTATTCACCTTATTTTTACTTATATCAACGAAAATAAATTTACTTTTTCTTTGTTCTATTCATATCTTATCTTACTTAAAATTCCTTCAAAAAAATCTTTACCGAAAACAAGTTAAGATATAATATAAGCTAGATATATAAGTTCAGAAAAATAAATAATTTAGATGAGATATACAAAGTAGAAGCCCAAGTTTTCTTCACCCTATTTTAGTTAATTAACTCAATTATTTTTACTAAACTCAAATTATTTTTGTTGAACTGAAACTAATTCTACATAATTGAAAAATAAAATGAATAGAAATACACCCTTAACTTTTAAATTAATTTTGAAACATTTTACTCAATTTATTTTTCCCTTGCTAATCTTAATTTGGTGCAAAAAATACACTCTAAGAATTACTCCCTCCGTTTTTAAATACTGGCTCCACTTTTCATTTTCGGCTGTTTTTAAATACTTGCTTTATTTTCTTATTTGAAAAGTTTTACAATAATCAATTCATTTTTCTCAATTAATGAAATCAACATAAATCATATACGAGTAGTATTTTATTAATTTTATATAAATTCTCATTCAATTCTCTCAACTACTTTAGTTTTTTTACAATTTTTTATGTCTCCACCTAAAACTCCGCGCATGAGAAGTGAAGCAAGTATTTTAAAACGGAAGAAGTAGCTTTTACATTGAGGGAACAAATTAAATTGCATTCTCTTAGTCCCCTAGCTACATACTTGGTAGGTGACAAATTGTATATTTGTCGTTCTTTGTTAATCTTTCTTACATCCTTATACTAGCTAGAAGACCCCATAATATTACATTTGCTATTTGATGATACTAGATTAGTAAGAGTAGCTAGAAAGCCTAGAAGATCCCATAGTACTTGGTAGGTGACAAAGTCGTACAAAATGCGCGTTACATCAACTGATATTGTTATGAAGTTGTAAGATTACCAAACGAATCCTTAAAGAAGCTCATGATTAATGTCCATGCACGTGCGATTCTGATAATACGCTTTCAATAATTAAGTGGTTTTGCCGAAAGTAAATATAAGACTGTGGATATATTGATTCCTAGCCTAACCTAATTAATAAATCCGGCGATTCATCATTGGTATTCTTATGGATGGATACCTTTTCACATTATACATACAAGTATATTATATATATTTGTAAAAATATAAATATTATTTATTCCACATTAATGTGAATATAATTAGATCTAAATTATTAGTGACGTAATTACTAGCTCTATTGTTAATAATATAATGACATTAGTTATTTAGTTTGGCTGGAAAGATTATTCAATCATTTATATAAATGCACACATTATGTGCGTAAATGTTTTCAAAATATGTACAAGATATCCTCGTATTACCGATATTTATTTATTTTTTTTGTTTATATATATAACTCATATTACCGGTATGTGCGTAAATGTATTTATTTATTTATTTTGTTTAGATCAAATCTAGGATATAGGAGAGTAGTCATTTATCCTCAATAATATGTACAAGAGCCTTCCCCCATATATATATATATATATATATATATATATATATATATATATATATATATATATATATATATATATATTAAGAGAATAGAATTAAGAGGGATGTTTAGTTAGGAGAAGTTTAGGGCAAAAAGAAAGGTTTGCGGCCAATGAGGCGTCATCTAACACAAACCTCAAATGTGAGTGCAAGGTTGAGACTTGAGAGGGGATTGAAAGAGAATTTTGAGTCCAAAAAGCTAACTTTGAAAAAATTAATCTTACAAAGAACTTTTTGATGAGAGAGACTTGTGATGCTTGAGGATAAATAATGACGATATCCTAGATTTGATCAAATAAATATACTGTCTTTAACAAGTTTGTTCTAGCAAGTTACCCTTAGCTATATTATTGATCATTTTACACAATGAAGTGACTATTTATTAGTTAACAATGATTTACGAAACGGTTATACACAAACAACAGTGGCGGATCTAGAAAATAATAAATGGGGGTCTGTAGACACCCATTTGTGTCTCCCCAAAACCAAACCCAGTGATGAGTACCTTTCACGTCGAATCATAATCGAATGAAACGAAAGTGTGGAAAGGTCTAGTGTTGCGGAAAGTTTTAATTTCTTTTCTCTTCTCTCTGTTTTTGAAAACTTATTTTAAGAAAATAGTCAATCCAGTTTGGTTGGTCCATGATATGGGTCCAATAGTAGTGTAGTTGGATGGGGCTTGCAAAGACCTTTCCAACGGATATATTATAAGCCCAATTCCGATGAATATTGAGAAAGTTATGACCAATTTACTAAACTGGGCCCGGTTTGAGCTTTATGTACGGCCCAATGATCTAGGGGAAGGGCCTAATATGATTTATCATTCCTAATGCAATTAGGAATGGTTTTAGTTTTCTAGAATCTTCTAGAAGGTTCTTTTCATTCCTAATCCAATTAGCATTGATAAATTGACTTTTGTTGACTTTTCAGAGTTTTAATCAAAATCAAATAGCATTTTTGAGGAAATGAGATTATTTTATCCTCCAGTACGGTAAACTTATTGGATTTTCGAAAACGCGTTGGAATCAGGCTTGGCGCCTAACACCAGGCCTTAGCGTCTGGAACCAGGCCTGGCGCCTGGCGCTAGTGGTGATGCCTGGCGCCAGCTAGCCAAGGGTGGCGCCAGCTCTGTTTTCTGAGCGTCATACTCTGTTTTGTTAATTTATCTTTTTTGGCTGATTTTCTCTATAAATATCGTATTAAAAACTCTGTTTTTAGGAATCATCTACATCTATCATTCACCAATTCTCACCAATCGTTTTCAATCATTAATTCTTTAGCATTCTCTAAATCATTCATCTTTCTTACATTCAATTCTTTCTTTCTTTAAACCTTTGCTTTTTCATAAAAAATTCCGCATTCACAAGATCTAGAAACACCTAGCCATATTCGAAGTTGCCTTCGCCCTAGACGTGAAAGGTTTAATTTCTGAGGGTTTGGCCCCAAATCTCTATTTCAATTATTTAATTTGATTGTTTGTTTATTATTTTCCTTGAAGTTACTAACGCGTGTATTTTGTTATTAGAAAGAGGTACGAGGCATCAAAGTAAATACTTTAATTGATTAATCGATGTTATGATGTAGAAATTATGTTTACATTGTTATTATGATATTCCTAGTATCATGTCTAGGGTAATTTTAATATTAAATATGATTGTTATGATGCTTTCTATTCTCTTTCTAATATTTATGATTGTTAGTATCATGTTAGGGTTAAAGATTTGATTTTTATCGCTTAGTGACATGCTAGGGTTTGTTATTAATCTTGTTAGTATCATGCCTAGGATCTTGCTATTTTTATTATGCTTTAAAATTAATATGAATATGATCATGAATATTATTATTGTTATAATTTATGATTATTACTTTTATGATTATAATTTTATTGTCATGATATTATTTATTATGTTGCTTTATTATTTATTATTTATTGCTTGATCACACCTTTATGCATGTTTAAAGGGAATTGGTACTTGTAATCACGCTTAATAAGATAATTAATAATCATCTAAGGCTTAATTTGATTATAATTCAAGTGATCGCCAATAATAGTTTATTTGTGCATTAAATTCAACCAACGTAGATTAAACATGTTTAGGGTTAATCCTATTGATTGTATGTTAATTAAAAAGCGCACATGAATACGATCAGAATAAAGTAAAGGCCTATTATTAGGGCAGGTTCAATCTCTTTTAGGTTGGATTTGTACCTTCATCCCCGAACCCTTATTTGGTTCATGACCTTATGGAGTTGACGATCTCTTGGATCGTTAAGGGGTGTAACCTTCACCTCGTGAACGGTTTACAAGTTCCTTAAAAAACTTGTTGGCGACTCTTTTGCTCTATCTTCTTCCCTTTTGGACGCCACCGTACTTTAGTGTATGATCACAGTGGGGTTCAAACTAGTGGGATTTTAAAGGCTTGAAATTATTCCCTACAGTATTTGGCGACTCCACTGGGGAGGATTTCTATTTTAATTCTTGAATTTGTTTCGGCAATGATTTAGAATGAGTGGATGAGA